ACGTGACACCTACTCAATATTATGTAATATGCCAACGCCATTAGCTAAATTGATTAATTTTTTTGAGTTGAACATAATTGATAGCCAGTTACCAATATTTCTAAATTGGAGCCGAGCAAATGCCCATCTATCTATATATACTGAAAGAGGTGGTTAGAATAATCTAAAATAGTAATATTATTCAATGAATAATGAACCAATTTTATATAAAAAAAATAGTAATATTCAAAATAATTGTTATACTAATTAATATTTCTACATGGTCTTAATACATGCAATTTAAATTATTGACTATTAAGTTAATAAGAAAACGCTGACTTGGGCATAAATAGACAATCCTATGGATTTCAATCGCCATCCATAAATTAACAACATTTGCAATAAATTGGATATCCAATCACGTATCGAAAAATGTATTCTTGAGGAAAACAAATTGAAAATTATGATATATCTCGAGCCATAAAAAGCTTTAAAATTATTCGCATAAAGAAAAATTATCCATGTATTTTCATAAGTCTATGATGACATAAGAATCGTATTACATTTCTATAACTAATCCACATCTAGAATAGTTACCGAATTTATATTACATGATTATAAATACCTAAATACTTCCATAATTCTTTAAACAAGTAGCACAATTGAGAGTAACAAAGTACCTAAATACCGAATTTTTAACTTTTTTTTTTAATAATATGGGAGTGGACTTTTTTTTTTTTTTGTACAGGGACCTTCCGGTTTCCGGATCCACAGGGGAACCGACTAATGTGCGTGACATTCAATTAACTCAATACATATAGATTCTTCCTATGACGTGTACAGACTGTTACATACAGACAAACAATCTTAAAATAATAATATTATTTTTCCCTGATTTGAACAATTAATAATAATACAATTTATAATTATAGTAATAATAATAATAATAATAATAATAATAATAATAATAATAATAATAATAATAATAATAATACTGACCCCTTTGCCCAAAATACTGATCAATTCATGTCTCTCATTCAGCTGTGACTGCGTTTTGTCGGGTGGTTGCGTTTTTACACATTTGTGTATTTATATAAAATCTCTATCGTTCCGGAAAAAAAATTAATATCTCTCATCCAAAAGTGGTTGTAAATTATTATTCATGATCAAGTCCGAATTGAATGCTTCATTCAGTCATTTGCTTCAGAACAAAGGCCAATTATTTGGTTTTGTCATCATAAGTCCTACATCTGCCAAATGCTGCTGTGAATATAATTCGATATAATTTATTACAAAATATAATTCAAATGAATTCGATATTCCATGCACATCAGTTTTACGAAAATATTTCAATAAAACAATCAATTTCTTTTTTGAAATATCCAGAAAAATTAAATTTGTTGGCATTAAAGTAAATCATTCAAAGAACGAAAACAGTCAATATTTATAAAATAATAATCGATTTTGGTGAATTTTCAAATTTTTTTTTTTCACTATTTACTATTAGTAAATTTATTTTGGTGGGGACATATTAACTAGAATATCCAAGTGCTTCATTTAAATCTCATTGGTACTTTCGTGTTCGAGCCCTGGGAATCCAGCAGTGTTAAAAACTCTTGAGGGAGAGCTTTGCCGCTCTTGGGGTCCTACCCGGCTCGATTCCGAAATAGTCGATTCCCCTGTGGATCCGAAAACCGGAAGGTCCCTGTACCAAAAAAAAAAAAAAAAATCTCATTGGTACTCCATAAACCAATTGAATAATACAAATGCAACTTTTCAAGCACCCCAAAGGTTGGATTAGTGACTAACTAATTAATTAAGTGCCCTAATCATAAATTATCGTACAACTTATGATACGGCGGTGAAACAAATAATTTGTAAGCAATTTAAAGCCATGAAGACACGTGATATTTATAATCTATTCCTCGGTCCAATGGTCCCAACCAATCCCTTTTTAGCACTCATTAAAAGTTCACATCCTTTTAGGGGGCCGACACGTCTGCACATGCAATACCTTGACCAGGCACTAAAAGCCACTGGGGACCCACTTTTTTACCTTTCAATAATCAAACCAAAAAGTTCATTTTTGACCGTGAATTTAGTGCGGTCATTTCTGGTCAGACCCCTTTTTACTGTCTCTATTCTCTTCTGTTCTCACATCTTGGATCAAGAACACGTCAGCAACATCGACGGCCATGTAATGACTATAATACCCCCACCCCTCATACAAAGGAGTAAATTACGAAAAACAAGTAATAAGGGGGCGATAGTATATGGATTCAACTAATAAAAAATTATTATTTTTTTTAAATTATAGTTAAATTTAAAAAAAAGTAGTATGATTAGTTATTAGTGAATATATTAAAATAATTAAAGTTGATTTAATGTAATAGTAAGAGAAAATGATTGAAAGTGATGATTAGTTAAATTATGTAAGTGAATGAATAATGAATTAAAGCTTATGCGATGTGTAATAATAATTGGTTGATATTATTTAATTATATTGATAATATTGAAAATAGTGGAGTTGAGTTAAGGGTAAGTTAAATTTGAGTTTTGAGTGAGATATTTACTGTACAATTTATAAACAATCACGTCCTAAGTGCTTGCATACAAACTCAAATCGAGAGTTTTGTTCTATAATAGTTAATTTAAAGGAAACTTGTATGGTCGGTATTGTGAGTTTTTAATTTATGTTAAAATAATTAAAATTAGTTTAATGTAAAAATAGAATAAAGATGATGTGAACTGACAGTTTGTTATAATTAGAATGTGCAAAAATAATTTGTTAATACTCCCTCCGTTTCAAATTATAAGTTGTTTTGACTTTTTGGGTACATCCACTTTGCTATGTATCTAGATAATAATATGTCTAGATACATAGCAAAATGAATTAATAAAAAAAGTCAAAACAACTTATAATTGAAAATAGAAGGAGTATTATTTAGTTACATTGATAAAATTGAAGATACTAGAATTGAATTAAAGTTAAATATAATTTTGAGTATGAATTTAAGACTTTATATACAAACACACACCTTAGGGCAACAGGGTCAACGGAGGAGGAAGGCCATCTGTTATCCATAATTCATCACACATAACAAGATTAACTTAAAAAAAAATAAAAAATAAATAAAAAATAAAAAAAAATTATAACAGAAAATCATCACGAAACAAAAAGAGAAAAAAATAACAACATTACTGAAGTCAACAAAAATTAAAAAGATTGATTAAGCTGTCAAACAATCTCTGTCACCACCCTTTTTTTTTTTTTGGTACAGGGACCTTTCGGTTTCCG